CATTGTAAATTGAGAACAAAAGGCAGAGAGAAAGGTGAGGGCAAGAACAAAGAGAACCAAAAAATATTTCTCAGTGGGGAACCCTGAAAGAGCATTGGATTGAAAAAAAGGAGAAAGTGATAGAGAGAAGAGAGAGAGAGAGAGAGAGAGAGAGAGAGAGAGAGAGAGAGAGAAGACAGGAAGTGAGAGTCAGGAACATTTGATCCTAAACTACCTCACTCATTAATGTTAACCACAGTCTCTTAGTATATAGCTGCAGTAGCTGATCACTCCTCAAGCATAGGAGCCACTAGTTTTGTTGCTATATAAAAAGTCTAATGAAGAAGATACAGAAGACTGGGCATGGGGGAGGAAACAGGGATGTTTGCTAGGCATCATTTCTCACACACACACACACACACACACACACACACACACACACAAACTCACACACACACACACACGTAGATCCACTAGTGTAATGGGATGTCCTTGACATTCTTATTCTGCACTATTTTTATATTAAATAAAATTCCCAGATCCTTTGCCTTAGCTAAAGCACACACAAACCAACCAACACACGGTCTTTTCTCATTGTAAAGCCTCCAACTCCCGGCACATTTGTCCAGTATTTACAAATCTATTACAGAGTCATTTTAGTCAGGCATTGGGGAGGGCAGCTGCAGTATAATCCTGACATGAGGGGCCCTGCCTCCCTGAGCTGTGATGTCAGTCATATCAGACCTCATGTGTCCCCTGATGGCCGGGTAGAAATAGCTCCACATATGTAGTTATTAGCATAAACACACACACATTTAGAGACACACTTACAGTATGCTAGTGCACATTCAGGCACATTAACACATTAGCGCATACGTCATCTTCATCCAAATGGAAAGAATAGAACTGCCCCAGGGGGTTAAAGGTGGCAGATAATTAGCATTATCTCTTCTCTCATGGTTCCTAACTCTCACACAGTTGTTTCTCTCTCCCTGTGTCTTCAAACCTTTTCGTCTGCTTCTTCTCCCCCTCTAACTTCCACTCCTAATTCTTTCTTCCCTCTATCCCCTGATGAAGCCGTAGATAGAGAAACAGGAGAGAGATATAAAAACAGAGTGGGGCAAGAGAAGTAGAAAGTGAGGCAGAACAAAGTGGAAGAATGGGGGGGGGGGGGGATCTGCTCAGTCCTCGGAGTGCAAGACCCAGTGAGAGAGATACAGTAGGTAGAAGAATTCATATTCAGAGAGGATTAGCTGGTATCCTTGTCACATCCCCGGTAGCAAATCATGCAACACAGATCCAAACCTGACAGCTATGAAGAGGAAATATTGCTTTTACTGTTATAATCCTTCTATAAAATAGAACAGGGAGGAGAGTGTCAGGATGTTTCACCTTCACCTAACTCTATTTTAACTTCAAGACATACAGGTAGAGAAAGTCTGCGAGATGGAGAACAATGGGCAGACGGCAATAAATGTTGTAATTCCTGTATTTGACACGGACAGTCATTGCACCACTACAGCTGATTTCTCAGGCCAGAAGCTTATTTCAGGCCAACCTGAAGTCACCTGCAAATAAAGTACGGTCTGTGGTTAGCAAAAGCTTTAGAGATTTTCAAATTAAGTTGCACGACATAGAATACGTCAGTAAATGCCACACCCAGTCCATTTTGAAGCTTTTGCATGTCTTAAAAACAAAAATAGCTGAATGAGACTAGGTTGTCAAGGTCAATAAACGTCATCACACCAAACACTTAAAGCCTAATGTTGGTGACGCAGAAGTCATGCAACCACGGTGAAGTTCACCTATGGCCTAAGGTTAGCTTTCTACTTCTGGCAACTGCATTTACGCTGAAATCATAAAAGTGGCGTTCATTGGTGGTGATTATCTTGCTGAACAAAATGGGCAAGTAGCATAAACCTTTGTTAACCACAAAATTCATATTCTGCAATAATTTAAAATAAAATGGAAAAACCCCATTGTCTTTTTGTCACTCTATAGGTAAAGCCATGGCGCTGTCCATGGTACCATAAAGATTTGTTATTCCACCTTTTTCTCTCAGTCCCTCCCTCCTTGTAGTTTTGTCTTGGATCTATATTATAAATACTCATTTATGTACTATAGTGTAGCCTATATAGTCTATAGAATAGTGTCACCTTCATGATCAAAGTGAAAAGTAACAATGTGTTTATTTGGAAGCATTTACTCTTTTTGAAGTTTATATTTTGACTTAAAGAGACATTTGTGTTTGTTAAGTTAAAATAATTAAAGCTAAGATAATTGACACTCGGTTTAATGGTTAATATTTAATATTTATTTTTATTCAAAAAGAGCTCAGGGCCCTGAGGGTAGGAGTGCTACAGTCTAGTTTACACTATTTAGTTGTGAACAAATATGACAAAAAAAGTAAAACAATAATTATCCTGTAGATTTTGAGAATTTTAGTTGCATCAGAAAGAACAGAAAATTAATATGTATTTCAATTTCTTACTGTTTCAATAATGTTGTGAATATATAATATAATATGAGACATACATATTGGTATAGTATTTATTAAGTTCTTTGACATTTTTCTATTGGCACATAGTAGTCCACGTAGTATTACTAATGTGTGTGTGTGTATGTGTGTGTGTGTGTGTGTGTCTGTAAGCAGGCAAACAGTAGACACGGTAAGCAGATTTCACTGTAGCATCCTGGCCTGAGGGGCGGTACTCTGAGAGGGCAGTCAGAGTGATCTGCATCACATTTCAGACCCAGACACACTTTGACCGAGGCACACACTCACGCATACTCACAGATGCATAATGTATGCTGGAACACACACATCATTGTGCAACAGTGCTTATGCCTCGTCAGTATAATGCCTGAGAAGCACTCATCCACCCACCCACAACCAATAAGGTAACTGTTATTACAGCCAGAGAGAATATTCTTTTACACATTCACACACATATAAACACACATACTCACGCCTCTCATCTCTTGCTAGAAAAGCCTGAGGTGATCTACCTTTAAAGTGAAACACCACATTCAATCTGTTATGCTGAAATCTATAGGCTAAAGTACAGTATGTTGCAAATTTAATGTACTTCAGACCTTGTTGTACCGCAGGAACTCTCCATAAACTCACAGATCTCAAACGAGAGGGGGTCCTCCAGCTGTTCTTAGAACTATGGAAAGTCCTTTGGTCCAAAAGCGCCTATTGTGAGCAGTTTTCACTGGAACTATTTCTACAGTGGAAAGAAAGTCCAATGAAATATTATTAACTTGGATTAAATTTTTTTCTTCTGGAAAGGATATGTGGCTGTTTTAAAGGCAATTTGTTAATCTTGAGAGCACCATAAACAAAATGTCTTTTACTTCCATTTTATTGGCTCAAAACCTTAGCCAGTATAACTAAAAACCATCTGCATGCATAGATACCACAAGAGGAGTGTCAGAAAAAAAATCTGTACTGGCTCAGTCACTGAATTTTTTCCCCCACCAACACACTAAATACACAGCAGCTTGTTTGATTTATGCAAGAGCTCTTCCAAATTGTCCTGTGAGATTATGGCTGAAAGAGCACGCAATGAGCCAGATGTTTTCTTAATGGAATGCATAGCACAGGTGATTCATGGTTGATGTATCGTAATGCAGAGGGCGGCAGCCTCAGATCACTTTGGATTGGCATAATTTGCAGGCACAAATGTTAGAAGTGTCTGACAAGAAAGAGGTCCTCTTAGTTTTGGTGGGCGTGAGTTCATTTTTTATCATCATTTTAATTAAGGAATATTAACACTTAATGTGTGTCTACTTCTTTAAAATAAGGTATGAGCACCTTGTCAGTTTCAGTTGCTTGAGCACCACAGACAAAATTATTGAAACATGATTTGCATGGCTTTATATAGAGGGAAGTGCAGTCTTGGTGTATTTAAGTATAATTTCAAGTTGCTTGACTATTTCCATTTTCTGTTACTTTATACTTCTACTGCACTATATTTCAAGGGAAATATGGTACTTTGAACTATACTATTGTACATTTATCTGTTTTCAAATTACGATTCTACATACAAAACATATGATCTGTTTCTAAAATACTGTATAAGGCATTGTTATAGATATGAGGCAATTCAAATGAACATGAGAGTATCACTGTGTTACCACATGCTTTAATATTAAATTTCCAATAATATAACATTGACAGGGGTCATTCTGCATAAGAGTGTCAGTTCATCTTGTTGGTAACACTGGTAAAAAAAAATTGTAATGGAGGACTTTTTGCTTTATGCTTTTACTTAGGTAAATGATCTGAATACTTTGTCCCCCCAGGGTAAGTGAGAAAATACTGCATGATATGATGAACCAAGCCTTTAAAATGGATTCTTGATACAATATTGCCTTTTTAAAACTGCAATTGTAAGCTGAAATTACTTCAGATGAGCTGAAAACGTTTCCAGAGCCTGTGAGCACACCGAGCCACCGATAATGCATTGAGGAGCATCAAAAATGCATTGGTCTCAGCAGGAAAAACCACCCAGATCTCAATGCCACTAGAGTACAGTCTCTTTCTCTCTGAAGAACCCGAGTAATACTTTACCTTTGAAGAGCAATAAATGTGAGCTGTATCACAAATCACACGGATCCCATAGTCTGCGTGTTATTTAGTTATTTATGCCTCATGGAGAAATGGCTCTCCATTCCTTCCAAGCAGCACTTATTAGTGTCACATATGGAAGATTTCTCCCCTCAGGTTGTCATGCCAATGTGGAAGTGCAGTATGAGTTTTTAAATATGTTTGACTGGAAGGGAAACAGAACTCTGCAGACTGTGTAGAGGAATGTGTGTGCGAGATGTTGATCATAGTGTGTTAATGCAAAGTCTATTGGTGCATACATATTTCTGTACCCAGCATCGCTGCTTATTACATTACAATACAAGTCACGCCTCTGTGATCTACTTATGCAGTTATGAGAGATGAAGTGAGTGTGTCCTTGTGTCCAGAAGCATACAGTATGTGTGGGTTCATATAGTGCGCGTACCTTTATGTGGTTGCGGTATGGTCCGTGTCTGCACCATACGTGTTGAAAGACATACTATCCACAAGGGGCTTTCAGCAACTTCCAGGGAATCTGCGCAAAGTGAGAGAGAAATCGAGGGTTAGCAGTAGAGGATTCCCAGACATGAAAGCTTGCCGTAATGGAGATAATAGGCTCTGGATCGACGAGTGGAGGCCAGTAAATTAATGGGCCCTCCTTGACACAAAGTCCATTTGTTATTTTTGAAGCGTTGTGACAGTTAATTACTGAGGGTTGGCTTCAGTGGACCACTCCACTTAGGCCGCCTCAGAGAAGAAAAACATTTCCTGGTGTGTTGGGAGACAGAGAGGACAGCTTCAGATGGTGTGGTTTAAGTGCGTGTGTGTAGGTTGGATGCTTTTACGCCTGAGTGTTCAATCTATAGGTGTATCCAGGCAACGAAAAATATTTCTAAACTGCTAATTTGCTTTGCTATATAGGTTTTGGAGGAAATTACTGATTTTTTTTTACCAATCCAGGAAGTGTCACATCTTATATTCTGCAGGGTGGGCTGGTTGATTAGGCAAAGCACAGGACTTTTAAACACAATGTAATTTGCATCCTGCATCCCACGTGCTGTTAAGTTTAGTCTAAAATACTTGGTTTTGGTTAACGAGAGTCCCCGTCTGCTGCTTCACGTCGGCATTGACTTTTTCCACATTTAACCAAGACCACAATTTTCCTTCATCTAAATTAAGTGCTTTGAGTTGGCTTAACATAACCATAAAGCATAAATCATGCTTAAGTTGCCAGTTGTAGATCTTGTAGGAACAATAGCTGAAATATACTGACAATAAACATTTTGGAGAGATGTTCGAAATGAAATCTTGCATTGGAAGTTTGCTGATGCATTCAATATAAACGTTTCCTCATTATGATTGCAAAAAAAAATATCGGGCAGCATTACGTCTCCTTTAAAACCTATTTATTAATGCAAAATATGTATTTATGAACCTAATCTGCAGAAGACAGGGAGACAAGTGTAGATCTACATTCCTGATGTACAGTTGCACAAGCAACAAAACTGTCAAGAAGTACTAAAAAGCACTTAAAACTCATGTTAGCCCGGTTCCAGATGGTCTGGTGTTGTGCTTATAGACAAATGTTTCCCCAGTTGGAAGAACAGCTGAGCCAATCAGAGCTTTATAGGCAGGATTAAGAATGAGGATGCCATCGTTAAGTCCCAGAGCCTGACTACATTAAGAAACGAAAATCATAATTACTTGACACAGCTATAGATGGTATTGTGAGCTGACTTATGGAACTAACAACTCTTTAATCAGCATACGTCTTCAACATGACAAGCATTAACTGTGCCATTTCTTTCTCAACTAAAAATGGTGAAAGTAGGATGAATATGTCATTCACTGCTGATTGGTCGCGGCAAAACAACGCCCATCGCCATGTAGGAAACAGCTGGCATAAACACAATATTAGACTGAATAATTAAGTGAAAACTAAATGGCATGCAGTCTAATTATCAGGCTACACAGATAACATATTATTAACATTATTTATCTATGCGATCTCCCTTATGACTGATTGAGCTCAGTAGTGGTTTTCATTAAAACCTGCATGTATTTTTACAATGCATAAAGCCTGGTTTCAGCCTTTAAAGAGTGTGTTTGAGAACCGTTAGCTGGCTACTGTCACATAAGATAGTGAGAACCTGCTACTCTCTGTCACAATATTCACTAATCTTCAAATGTAATTGTGCTGTCTGTTGGTTTCTTGGCTTTGATGTAGATACTTTAGAACACCACATGAACACAGACAACAGAAGAAAAAAAGTCCAAAATGTCCAAAACAAACTCTCATCTTTCTCTGTCGTTGTGCTCTACGCACAACAAGCTCGTGATTTAATGATAAAATGTTACCTGTTAATTATTCTTACAATTGTCAACTAAATGTATCAGGTGCCATACCTAGAAAATATCTCTGTGCGGTCTTGCAGCACACTAAAGTCCAACTCTTAAAAAATTTGTATTCATCTCCTGACTCGGTCCCCCTTTTTTCGTAAAAATAATCACAAAGTAGTAATTTGTATTCCGGTTGAGAAATACTTTCCAAAGAATACCAATTAGTTGTAGTTTTTTTTTTATTGTGACTAAAGGCACTGAAGAAGGTTATCTCTGCTTAGGCATACAGACCCAGTTTGTTTGTGTGTGTGTATGTGTGTGTGTGTGTGTGTGTGTGTGTGTGTGTGTGTGTGTGTGTGTGTGTGTGTCATTGGAGTAGTTACTCTAGTCTTTCTGGCAGCTTTACTGTTGAGTTGGCATTTGGGCCAATAAAAGAAGCACAGAAGTTTTAGTTTGGTACAAAAAAATCAGTTTAACTGGAGATTGAGATCCAGAAGGGAACATTTTGTTCATTTAGTAAAAAGTATGCACATTACTTTTTGATTAAGACCTTAGTCTGAAAATATTTCTCCTTGTTGTTAACTTATTCTAGCACCTGTAAAGTTTTCATTCAATAGACCAACTTAAAACCAAACAACAGTCCCCATTCTTTGAGTTTTTATATTGAAATATTTTCATGCCTCACATCAGTTTGTGAGAGTAGGTGTCACATTTTTGAAATGGCAGACATCTTATTTCAGTAAAACAATCCAAACGTCAAACTAAAGTGAAAGACACAGATCTTGTCAAATAGATACTGTAACAGCCTCCTACTCTGTATTCACTGACAGTGGAAAACTCTCAGTGGAACCAACCTGCTGGTAAAGCCTCCAGAAAGTGCTGCAGCTGAAACTTGTGTGCATTATCTGCATAGCCCCTAACAGATTACATTTAAATTACATTGCATTTATTGAGCTGACACTTTTTTTTCCCAAAGCGACTTAAAATAAATGCATTCAATCTTGTGGATACAACCGAAAAGAAGCAAGAATCATGTGAGTGTCAACTTCATAAAATAAGCTGAAGTACTTCAAGTGCTACATTTAGAAACAATGAGCGGTAGAGAAAGCCTTTTTTTAGATTAGATTTAGATTTAGATCATAACTACTCTTTTTAAATACCGAATAATGAGTATTGACAGGGTTAGGTGATTTGTTTAAACCCAAAATGTACAGCAAAATAATAAAAAGTATATATGATTACACTTTCAGGATCAGGATGTAGAGCGGATCGACCACTAATCAGATGGTTAGCGGTTTGATTCTTGGCTCCTCCTACTGCATGTTGAACTGTCTTTTAGCAAGATACTGAACCCCGAATTGCTCCCGATGCTGTGTGTGTCATAAGCGTGTGAATGGGTGAATGGGTGAATGGGTGAATGTGGCATTTACTGGACATTGCTTTGAGTGGTCGACTAGACTAGAAAGGCGCTATACAAATGGAATCCATTTACCATTTACTTTCTAAAATGAAGAGCGTATTTCTTTTTTCTACAAACACTGCAATAGAAAATCCATGGAGAAAAAAATATTATAAAAATATATATATTATATATATATATATATATATATATATATATATATATATATATATAAAGGTATATCCATAATCCCTTTTGTCCAGAAACAAGGAAGTAACATCTTTTTATTTGCTCAAACATATAAGAAATATATGAGGAAAGACATATAGAATTTCATCACTTTTAAAGGTCCAGTGTGTAACATTTAGGAGGATCTATTGGCAGAAATTAAATATAATATGCATAGGTATGTTTTCATTTGTGTATAATCACCTAAATATAGGAATTGTTGTGTTTTTGTTAGAATTAGAATGAGTTGCTTATAACTACAGCCACTGTCGCCTTCCATGGAGTCCGCCATGTTGAACAGCAATGTTTCTGCAGTGGTTGACTCTAGATAGGACTGTTTGCGGGAGGGAGAAGCGAGCAATCTGCAACTACACCTCGAGATGTCACTGCATACTGGTCCTTTAAAGGTGCATCTAATAATGAGAAGAAAAATCAGAATGGGATGAAATAGAAATGTGGTATAGAGATTAATAAGAAGTTTGAAATCACTCATTTTACCTTTTACCGACACTGTCACAATATTTTTTTCACATTTCATAACTGAAACTGTCAATTGATCAGCTAGTCAGTATTTTGGTAATTCAGTCATTTTTTCAAGCAGAAATACCAAACACCCTCAATTCATGAAGACATAAATGCCCATAATTTGCCCTCTCCTCCTGCTCTCTTCCTAATATAAGGAAAGACAGACCGAATATGAATAGCCCTGGAACCATTATACACAAACAAAAAGCAAATGGGAGCACTTGAGAGAAATAGATTGGTATCTGTGTACAAGCTTGGAGAAAATCCAGCAAAATTATATTTATGTTCTATTTATTGTCTGGAATAACAGACAGTTGCCTGTGTTTTGCCTGAGGCATGTATGTGTGTGTGACTGAGAGATAGCTCCACTGAGATGTACAGCGTGGAACAGAGAGAGAGGTAGAAAACGAGAGATCAAAACCAGAAAGAAAATATTTCTCGAACTATACTCAGTTTGAGTGAAAGCATGAGAAAATCTGAGAAAGAGAATCTGAAGAGGGAGGAAGTAAAAATGAAAGAGAGAGGAAGAGTTGTGGGCAGAATTAGGGAGGGGAAATCCACTCATTATTCAGCAGGCCCTTCAGATCTCAAACACTGTCAAGCCCCCTCTGTGTTGAAAGAGGATAAAACAGGAGAAAATAAATTTGGGAATAAGATCATGCCTGAATTCATTTGAAAGCCATTCTGCCCCCCTGCCAATCAATAAAGTGCTGCTTTACACAGCACTGATAAGCTCTTAACTATGTGACTCTGGCAAAACTTATGTTGACAACATAGGTTATCCACACGGTGGGCAATGATGCCTTATGCTATTATTTTCCAGTCAAACACATGAAGCTGCTATAAAAAGCTGCTTAAGGAAGCTTAGAAACTTCAAATGTTCTCTGTTGAAAGTGTCCAATACATCCTTTATTAATAAATAAATGACTGAATAGGCAAATGACTCCCAAAGTGGCATATATGAGTACCAGCGACAGTTGTACCAGACGATACGATGTAAAACCGTTTTACAATGTAGGGTTAGGCAACAACACTGCTTGGTT